TAGTGAATTTGTACATTTTTGCTTATCTGCGACAAAAATACATCTGTTATATAAAAATATATAAGGTAGGACAAAAATATATATTACATAAGAAAAGTGGAATATGTGCTAAATTACTTTATTTAGACCGAAATCTTCTTCTACCGAAGAAAGTAATGAATTTGTTGCTTTCAATAATATTATAGGTGACCGGATTGAAACCAATGAAGACATATCATATTCTCGAATAGCAATTAAATGTTTGTAAATTGTTGTACAAAATATTTTAATAGAATCAGTAGAAATCGGATTGGTTATTTCAGAATTATTTTTGATTAAAATATTTAGTTTTTCTTCCCAGGTAACATATTTACTCATGTCTGATATAATCTGAAACAAATATTAAACAACTGTTAGTAAATGTTAAACGTATAGAATATGTTTCTATTTACCATAGTTTTAATGTGTCAGCGCTATATATATATACATATATATACAGGGTGTCCCAGAATTGGTTTAACATCTCTCGTAGGCAGGTAGAAGGAATAAAACTGAGTCGAAAAGTCCTATACCATTTTGCTAGATTCGCAATAGTTACTGAGATTTTAATTAACAAAGATCCGCGAATAAGCGTGCATCAGGCTGTCTTAAGAGCCGTCTACAATGGAGAGTTGTAGGCCGTAATAGTAAGAAATTGACCAATCACAATCGATTATTCTTCTGTACTTTGTCTGTGATTAGTCAATTTCTTACTATTACGGCCTACAACTCTCCATTGTAGACGGCTCTTTATGCGTAGTCTACAACGAGAATTTAAGCTGTAAGACTTAAGCTTTAAGAAGGTATAAGACCCGATTTCACCATCTCCGATTAACTTAATTGGTCGATTATTTTGTTGGAATCGCCAATCATATTGGTCGATTGACTAAATTGACCAATCGCAATTGACTCGCAATCGATCGGTAAGTTAATCGTAGATAGTGGAAACGAGCCTTGTACTTTCTTAAAGCTTAAGTCTAACGGCTTAAATTCTCATTGTAGACGACGCATTACGCGCGGAGGACAGCCCGGCGCGCTTCGCACAATTACATTTTAATATGTATATGTTATAGTATATGCTGTTATATTAGCTCCTCCCATATGTCGCTATGGGTAACACCGTTAGCGCGCGAAGCGCACTGGGCTCTTACGGGCGTACGACAGCCCGATGCATGCTTATTCGCGGATTTTTGTTAATTAAAATCTCAGTAACTATTGCGAATCTAGCAACACATGGTATAGGACTTTTCGACTCAGTTTTATTCCTTCTACCTGCCTACAAAAGATGTTAAATCAATTCTGGGACACCCTGTATATGTATGTATGTGTATATGATATATTGTATAATATGTACGTTTGTCTTTCACACATGTATGTGTAATATTATATATTACATACCATTTCTGATACAGGTATATTAAACACATCCATTATTTGTTTTAACACAATAAGTTGAAATTCTTGATTATTAGTAAAAGGGAAAAATGTTTCCTGTAAGATTTTTAAGTACTTGGGAGTTCCGTCGATTAATACTAATCGCCCTCGAAAGTTTTTAGCTTCTAATTGTTTTACCATTTCAATAGCAATAAGAGATCCATATGAATATGCGCCAATTACAAATTCTGTAGAATCTGTTAGTTTTGATAAAATATGCTAAAAAATACAGGATTTTTGTAATTAATATTGCTTGTAAACACCATAAAACTTATAATTTCATTTCTAGATGTAAAAGTTTCTATTTCACTACATACAGGTAGAAGATCAGTGGCTGAGTGTACTACAGATTGAGCAGATTCAGGAAGATTAATAGAACTATGTTGTAGGCATAGTGCAGGAGCTTTAATTTTTGAAGCTATTGAGTTGTATACGTTAGCAAATCCTTCAATTCCTGGCAAAAGAAATACTTGGTTTCTACCTACTTCTCGTTGTGTAGAGAGCTCTATACAAATGTTTGAAAATATATCTAAGTCAGATATTA